TCTTTACACCTAGTTGGTGACAAGTTGTTTTTCAAACGGGGCCAGAGTGGAAAGGTTGATGCAAGTGTTACTGTTTGTGTTGTTAGCTGGAAACAGAATGACTTCTGTTTTCTTCTCATTAAGTTTAGGAGGTTTAAAGCCATCCAATCCCTGATGTCAGCCAGGCAGTCRAGAARAGGTTGGATGCAGTGTGGGCCAGCCTGTTTCAGAGTAAAGTAAATTTGACAGTCATCCGCATAAAGATGAAATGGTATGCCATGTTTACGAATATGTTCACTCCTCCTAAGTAAAGGCAAGTTACATGATGTGCTGATAAATTGCTGCATTGATGAGTAGGTGAGCAAAGATTGCCTTGTCAAAACATCCTCCATCTATGACGTGGTTGGCTGTCGTATTTCCAGAATAGATCAACTGGATGACCTCTGCATGTTACCCATTGGGGCAATATAAGAATTCAGAAGTGAAATCCACTCAACCTTGCAATGACAGGTAGATTTGCCTGCTTGAGGATATCCACAGCAAATCGGAAGATCAAAACGTCACTATACTGACTCTGTAAGCAGTTGAATGCACACTTTCAGTCATTAGGGTCCCCCTTCAATAACTAGGAGGAAGTCAATCTATGTGCTCTGCTTTGCATCATATGCATGGATACGATTCATTCAGCCATTCTAGTTGGGAGTGTTGAAACTCAGGATCCAGGGCTTTGATGACCCATACTGTTGTTCAGAGTGTGTCGTCCGAAGTGAGGAGTTGTTAGCCATGAGCCAGGGGGGCAAAGGTTGTGGTGGTGGTGAGGTGTCTTCAACCCATTGAGTGGAAGTATTTATATGAACATCAACAATGTTGTCTCCAACAAATTGTGTCCACATTGTTTCCTCAGCCTCACCTGATCATTACTCAATTTTCAGTCACAGGCCACCATCGATGATTGATCCTCAAGTGTAGCATCATCTGCAGTCTCATCATTGATCTGATCATCAGTTTCCTCCACAATGGTGTTAAGAGTGCCAGAACAATCTGGGGCACAATCTCTACTCCTGCTTTCAAGGAAGCAGCATTTGTGGTTTTGTGTCTCAGAGTAAAGGCCTCTACRTACTCCCTCCTAACTGCTGAAATCAGCTCTCATTGTTGCAGTTGCATGACGAAAATTGCMTCATTTGACTCGGAGAGTCAACAGGAAATCCCCTTCTCGAGACAAGGCCTTAGCTGAACTGTTTCTCACCACGCTCTGTGCGAAGAGTTACGTAGGTGATTGCTCTGAAGTTCGCGAGTGTCTTTGGTTATGCTGAAAGCGTTTGGATGCTACATTTTGCTTCACCTATTCGCCTCCAGAATCAAATTGTTGTACCCAAGACATTTATAAAGATAATCAAACAGCCAAAAACTCATGGAGATTTTAACAAGTTTTAGAGGGAGTATGTACAGGCCTTGAGACTCTGTATCCCAGCCAGTGTAACTTTTTGAGCATCCATTTTGACCCAAATCTATGATCATGTTTTATGGCAAGCCCCCATCTGGTGTAGTAATTCTCCTCACTGAGGTCAACAGGCCACAGCTGCACAGCATTCACTTCATGCCTACCTGCAGACTAAGGACTGGATCCTTCTACAGAGCATGTCTCTGAACCCGTGACTATAGATGGACATTAGGTGTGCATGGGTATGAACAAGTTTCAACATTAGACTCCACGGCTCATGAAAAGCTACTAAAGTTCACAAGCTGTAACTGTCATGGAGACTACAACCAGTGGTGCAGCTGCAAGAAGAATGGAGTCATGTGCACTCAGCCTGTGGAGTCTATAAAGTTGAAACTGCAATCATGATGTTGAGGCTGAAGATGACTTGAAGCTTCTCACATTATGAATGAGAAATAACTGAGTATTTTATAGGTTAGAGAAATAAAAACTACTTGGAATGTTAATGTAAATCTAAGTGTGCCCTTTTTCAACAATGGAGTGTTTATGATGACATACAGTGGGGAGAACAAGTATTTGATACACTGTTGATTTTTCAGGTTTTCCCACTTGCAAAGCTTGTAGAAGACTGTAATTTTTATCGTAGGTACTCTTCAACTGTGAGTGATGGAATCTAAAATAAAAATCTAGAAAAATACAATGCTTGATTTTTAAATAATTAATTTCCATTTTATTGTGTGAAATAAGTATTTGATCATCTATCAACCAGTAAGAATTATGGCTCTCACAGACATGTTAGTTCTTCTTTAAGCCCTCCTGTTCTCCACTCATTACCTGTATTAACTGCACCTGTTTGAACTCGTTACCTGTATAAAAGACACCTGTCCACACACTCAATCAATCAGACTCCAGCATCTCCACAATGCCCAAGACCAGAGAGCTGTGTAAGGACATCAGGGATAAAATTGTAGACCTGCACAAGGCTGGGATGGGCTACAGGACAATAGGCAAGCAGCTTGGTGAGAAGGCAACAACAGTTGGTGCAATTATTAGAAAATGGAAGAAATACAAAATAACGGAAAATCTCCCTCGGTCTGGGGCGCCATGCAAGATCTCACCTCGTGGAGCATCAGTGATCTTGAGGAAGGTGAGGAATGAGCCCAGAACTACACGGCAGGACCTGGTCAATGACCTGAATAGAGCTGGGACCACAGTCTCAAAGAAAACAATCAGTAACACTCTACACCGTCAAGGATTAAAATCCTGCAGTGCACGCAAGGTGCCCTTCCTCAAGCCAACGCATGTCAAAGCCCRTCTGATGTTTGCAAATGACCATCTGAATGATCCAGAGGAGGAATGGGAGAAGGTCATGTGGTCTGATGAGACAAAAATAGAACTTTCTGGTTTAAACTCCACTAGTCATGTTTGGAGGAAGAAGAATGATGAGTACAACCCCAAGAACACCATCCCAACCATGAAGCATGGCAGTGGAAACATCATTCTTTGGGGATGCTTTTCTGCAAAGTGGACAGGACGACTGCACCATATTGTGGGAAGGATGGATGGGGCCATGTATCGTGAGATTTTGGCCAACAACCTCCTTCCCTCAGTAACAGCACTGAAGATGGGTCGTGGCTGGGTCTTCCAGCRTGATAACGACCCAAAACACACAGCCAGGACAACTAAAGAGTGGCTCCGTAGGAAACATCTTAAGGTCCTGGAGTGGCCTAGCCAGTCTCCAGACCTGAATCCAATAGAAAATCTTTGGAGGGAGCTTAAAGTCCGTGTGGCCCAGCTACAGCCCCGAAACCTGACGGCTCTGGAGGAGATCTGTATGGAGGAGTGGGCCAAAATCCCTGCTGCAGTGTGTGCAAACCTGGTCAAGAACTACAGGAAACGTCTGATCTCTGTAATTGCAAACAAAGGTTTCTGTACCAAATATTAAGTTTAATTTTTCTGGTGTATCAAATACTTATTTCACACAATAAAATGGAAATTAATTATTTAAAAATCATACATTGTATTTTTCTGGATTTTTGTTTTAGATTCCATCACTCACAGTTGAAGAGTACCTATGATAAAAATTACAGTCATCTACAAGCTTTGCAAGTGGGAAAACCTGAAAAATCAACAGTGTATCAAATACTTGTTCTCCCCACTGTAAATGCTTACAATAAACTCAGAATCATAAAAATCCTGATTTGACCCCTCACAATTTACTTAAAGTCCCAATTTCTAAAAAAGTAGTTTAAGAACCATTCTGGTACCCTAACTTGAGCAAGCTTTTTTTTTTTCAGCTTTTTCCACAAGAGTTGAATTTCACACACCTTTACAAACATATTTGTGAAGAATTTGTTTGGTAACAATTTACTTGGCAGATTTGCAAAATATCTCTTAAAATGCCTTTCCTATCTGAGGTTTTGAAATTTGAATCCTAGCTCATCAACCAACAGATTGAACTGCCTCAGAATGACAACTTGAAACAAGATACTTCAGTCTATACAATCATATGATACAAAATTTAGACATTATTCAAATGAAACTGACCTTAATGCTTTACCTTAAAATGTAGGACAGCGAGAATTTGTTTTCCATCAGCTCACAAATCTTTGATTCCACTTCAGGGGAAAGTTCAACCTGTTAGCAAAAACAGAGTCAAACCATTTACAAAGGTTTATGCAGTTTCCTGATAGAAAGACCAATTTCTGAATGAGCAATACAAATTAAAGTTATTCCATTTTAGTAATTGTGATAAGTGTTGTTAAGAAGCAGAGTTTACCCATTATCTACCTGAATCCTTCACATGGGCGTCTTCTGTTGATAACTTACCAACAGCCAGCACCTCCTGTGTATAGTTCAACAACCTACAAAGAGCAGAAACACTAAGAACACCAACACTTCAAGACGTCTGAGGTGGTTACATACACAAGCTGTAAAGATGAGACAGTACCTCAAAACAACCCAGCATTATTGAAAAGGTATTGTAAAGTTCAGGTAATTGTTTTCAATACATAGAAATCCATAAAGTGGCATTTCTTTAACCTGGGAGTCAAAAGGCTGATCCAAAATGAAAGACTACTGCTAGATGCCAGTTCCTTTTCTGTCCTGCATGCTATAATGTTATAGCAATGGGACAGTTATCTCATGAAACAAAAGGAAGCTGCAGTTTGCCTTTCATCAACTACCAGGAATCAAGTATTATCTGGAGGTGACTACTTAGGGCAGTGTTTCCTAAACTTTTCAGACACTGACAAACAAAATAACAATGGCAGAAACTCATTAACCCAACTATCACTGTGTTTCCATCCAATTTTAACTCGAATTTTGAGTAAATTTTTAGAAATTTGCAAATGTGGAGAACTAAGAAATGTGAATCAAACATGTTTCCATCAACTGGCTTGAAGCGAATGAATTACATCAGACGCATGTGTGTAGTAAACAGGAAGTAAAAGTCACATCTCAGGAAAATGGAGAGAAGTTATCAGGAATGTGTTGCTCCTGTCGGGAAAGATCTACTTGTTCTGTCATCAACTAGTTTTGGTGATTTTACATGCTGTCTGGAGACGTACTGGAAGAAATGTAATTCTCTTCACGTTATGGGATTAAAGGCACAGTGTGTAGGATTTTGTCAATTCTTTTAGCCGAAATTGAGATAATCACTAATGACAATAATAAAAAAAA